CTTCTGCAGCTCATCGGCAGACTCCTGCACTCGCTCTCGGTCGTTGCTGTCCACCACGAAGATGAGACCCTGCGGGAGAAACCAGGCTGCAGTGGGCAGCTTGCACAGGGAAGAGGGGGACATCGCAGGCACCCCCTCACCAAGGGGGAAAGCAGCCCCGCTGCCCACCCGGGCTGCCCCGTGCACCCCCCGCAGAGCCAGAGCACCCCGAGGAGGGTGCTGCCCCCTCGCCTGCTCCTCCGCCGGACCCCTCCCATGAGACAAACACCCATGCGAGGTCCCAGTGCTCCCAGTTGGGCCACCACACCGGGGACTGGGCGCGTTCCCCGCTGCCACTCACGTGCCCCGCTCAGGCAGGACCGGGCAACGAGCCCCGGGGACCCCGGGCCAGCCCTGCCGCAGCTGATGAAGTTTATCCCTGCCCTGCCCACGTCCACCCTCCACAGACCTGTGTGTTTTGGAAGTAGTGCCTCCAGAGGGGTCGGATTTTATCCTGGCCGCCCACGTCCCAGACGGTGAAGCAAATGTTCTTGTACTCCACCGTCTCCACGTTGAACCCTGCGGGGGGACAGGAGCGGCATGGGGAGAGGGTGCCCACTGCCTCTGGGTAGAGCTGAGGCTCCATCTTTTTTACCCCCCCCATGAGGGATTTACACACACGGATGAGATCCCCCCGAGCCATCTCTTCTCCAGGCTGAGCAGCCCCAGCTCTCCCAGCCTCTCCTCGAACGAGAGATGCTCCAGTCCATCATGGCCCTGCACTGGACTTACTCCAGTATGTCCCTGTCCCTCCTGCTGGGGAGCCCAGCACCGGACCCGGCACCCCGAGGTGTCTCAGCAGAGCTGAGCAGAAGGGCAGGACCTCCTCTCCCGACCCACTCACAGTGCTCTGCCCAGCACAGCCCAGGGTCTGGTGGCCCCAAGCCACAAGGGCACGTGCCTGGTGCTTGCCCAGGTGGCTTCCCACCAGGATGGCCAGGACCTTCCCAGAGCTGCTCTCCAGCAGGTACCAGGGCCTGGGGTTGTTCCTCTCCGAGGGCAGGACTTGGCATTCCCCTGGTTGAGCTCCATGAGGTTTCTCTGCTCACTTCTCCAGGCTGCCCAGATCCCCCTGGACGGCAGCAGGACCCTCCGGCGTGTAACCACTCCTCCGAGCTCAGGGCCGAGCTTGCCGAGGGTGCTGTGTCCCCATCACCCAGGTCACTGATGAAGATGTCAGCAGCACTGGCCAGCGCAGTACACCACAGGTGACCAGCCCCCCTGACCCCTCGGCTCAGCCCGGTCCCAACCCACCTCCATCAGCGTGTGGGAGATGCTACGGGGGTCGGTGCTGAGTGCCCATGGAAGGCTTTGCACCCCGGATCTGGCAGGACAGCAGCCTGCCCTCCCTGCCCGGCTTGGGCAGACGGGACCCGCGCGGGCTGAGCCACCTCCGCACTCTCCGGACCAGAGCCAGACCTCATCGGTGTAACGGCTCCAGCTCCACATTCGGCACCGCGGGGCAGGCAAGCAGGGCGGCAAATTCGGGTTCGCAGCCGCACGCAGGTCGGGGCGGGTGGTCTGGGCCGATGCCCGTGCCAGGGACCGCAAGGGGCATTTTGGGGTGCGAGCCAGGCTCCCCGCCAGGCACA